ATGTTTAAAGTATTATAATAATACATTTTATATATGTTTATCATATATTTATTATATTTTTTTATTAAAATATTTTTTATCATATTTTTATCATATAATAGTTATATAACTATTATATGATAATTATACGTAAAATAGTAAAAATTCAAGTTTCTGCTAAGACAGTAATTCTATTCTTATCATTTCCCTAACCGCTAATCTACTAATCTATTCTATTACCCTAACCACTAACTTTAGCTTCAACGCATCCACTAACCCTAAAAACGAATACGTACTAACGGACCCTAATCCTATCTAAATCACTAAAATGATAAAACTCATACCCACAAAAATTCATACATAACAATAGATAGATCATACTTCGCATTAGGTCACACCATCTTTCAACATATTCTATTCAAAAAGATATCAAAATTAGAACAGAGATTCCAGTGATGATGATATTAAAACAACAACTAAAAGACAACAAACACAGAATTAATGATGAAACCAGCAATGACAAGGACACCAACCTAGAGAAAATGAAGCGGTAATGATAAAGTAAACAGTTAGTAAATGCGAAATAAATAAAACAATGCAAACGAACGATGAAGACACCAATCTAAAAGAACAAAGCGGTAATGACAAAGGAAACAAATAGCAATTATTAAGAAACAAAATAAACAAAACGTAAAATAAACGAACAAAAAGAAAAAAAGTAACGCCTATAAATAATATCAGCAGTGACATCAAATTAACTGAACATGACAAACTCATCAAAATATGACGACACTAGCATATGACAACTCCAGTTAAGTGTAATTTTCTTTATTTTTTATCGAAAATTTTAATATGATTTGTTTTTGAGCATGTAAAAATATCATTTTTTTTTTGATCAACGAATTTATAGCTTGTCGAAACTATAAAACCACCTTGCCAATTCATATATGAAAAAAACAAATCTGAAGAACAAGGGCTTAATCTCAGCAGATCGTAGCACTAAGACTACTCTACTGCTTACAATACCCAGTTCTAATTTAAGT